GACAGGTGGTACGGGGAGGGGTTGGAGGAAGACCTAATTTTTAAAGTAGCTTGTATCCTTCAGAGTTGTCGACCCAAATCAGTTTGAGGTGTGTCCACACTCTTAGAGTTCTCCTTTCTCTATTATTAGTCAAAATAACCTAGTTTGGGGAAACATGATAATTACTCCTTTATATTTTCTAATATCGATAAGAGGGTGTAGGGAATTCTAAATCTTTCTCTTTCGCTCTTTCTCACTTTTCTTCTTTGTAATCCTTATATTTCATTGCTATTGCTTTAACTTGGTAACAGAGCATCGACCTGAGGCAAGATATCGTCTAGAAAAATACACGTGAAGACATTTTAAATACAGGTTTGCGGTGAACTTGCTAACGTCATCAACAAAAGGGTTGATGTCAGCATGACATCAACATATTTCAACTTCCAAAACCCACGCCCAAACTCAATGTGCTAATAATTGTGGTCGTGGTTATTTATTTTTTTTGAATTCATTGGGGTAGGGTTTGTCATTTTCAAATGATTTTCGGCAATTTTGTGCCAATTTTTTTGATCCGATTTTGGACAGTTTGAGGTTTTTTATGATTCAATCCTTACCTAAGAGGTGTGACAAGGTTTGTAGAGAAGTAATTTGAGATACCAGGCATTGCGTGGAATGTTTTGACCAAAGTTTTGGAAATAAATTCTGAAATGTTTTCGAAACATTACCGAAATGTTTCCGAAACATTACTGAAACGCTTCTGTTTCCAAACTCACCGAAATTATGTACCAAAATAAAATTTTGATCCTTATTCACGGCAGACTACAAGTCATTGTTTAGGTTGTTTTCTTGCTTTTGGGGTTGTGCCCGAGGTTTTTTCTAATATGGGGTTTTTAAAGTACTTTTTAAACTCTTCGGCCTGATTGTTGTTTATTGATTGACTAATGTTTCTTTAGTTCTTGTTTGCTATATAATCAAATATGAGTTTCTTAATGGCAACCTTGGATGATGTCAAAGGTCATCCAATGAATGATCAAGCTAGACAAATTACATCCCTGAGATTGATTGGTTGTAATCTAGATCACATGGATAGGGAACGGGGGTGAAAGCAAGGGCGAGAGTTTGATAGAAGTACAAAAAATATTAGTGCAGGAGCTTCTCATTTAACTTTGATATGTATCGCTACCAAAAAATACAAAATTAAGATTAATTATATCTAATAAAAACATGAAACCAATGATATATTTAATTTGATTTGAAAATAGCAAAAAGGATATCAGATTGAATCTTGATCAAAAGAAGTTTAAATATATTAAATAATAATTTTTACATCAATCTATCTATTTGTCCTTTCTTTGTTGATATGATACATGGTTGTAAATTTTTTGTAATAATTCTTTTTGGTCAATCAAAAGACAAGAAAAGTCACATAAGAAGGGGCATGTCATGGATCTCAACTCGTGAATATGGACAGTACCATCATCATGATGAATTGACAAATTCAAATCCATGAGTTGGGTGAAGGTATAGCGTGATTTTTCGATGATTTCGCTTTGGAAATGTCAATTTGGGTTTGAAACGCTAGAGCGCCAGGGAATTCAGACGAATCTTGTGACTTTGATTGTAATTACTACTATTGGTCTCTTGCCATTAATGTTTTCCCTACATGTAAAGAAGAAAATCAAGTATTTACATGAGAATGATCTTTATTTTGGACTCAAAGTTGTGCATATTGGTGAAATGAGAATTCTCTGATGACGACCAAGTTGTGGTTTAGTACGGAATCTTATAAAGCCTCTAGTGTTCAGCTCTTTGACATGACCAAGAAGATATGAGACTCACTTGAGCAGATGCATTCATAATAGCATAATGTGTTACGGATTTATGAGCGTTTTGGATGTATACTACATAATGTGTAGTAGGGCTGTGCTTTATGAACAATTGAGCATAGATTTAGAGATACAAAGATGACAACGCAAAAAGTTTAAGGTTGATTTGTTATTGTTCAACCTTAACTCTAAGCATAGTGTATTTAAAGATCATATTTGGATTACTGTTATATTACTGATTATGGTTGTACTAGTCATGGTAATCATTTTGAGTGGAAATTTTCTATTGAGGTGGCATAGATAATTGACAATTATTGTTGGAATAAGAATGGGAGATTGGTGTATTCTAATAAGGCTTCTGATTAGTGGTGTTTCGAGCCAAGCCTTCTGAGCTTTGGTATGCTCAGGCTTGGCTTGAGTTTTTCAAGGGTTGTCCTAGCTCGGACACCAAGCCTTGATTTTTGCACAAGTTCTAGCCAAAATCGAGCTATAAGGCTAAATCTCAAATCCACAAGCTTCAAATCTAAAATCTAAATTCTAAAATCCACAAGTCTCATCCCAAATAAAAATGCATAAGCATCACATAAAACTTAGAAAAACCCCAATCTAAATACAAACTCTAACATGAGAAATTCAAAAATTGAACAAAACTTACAAATACAATTCATATACATATAAAATCATATATACTAGACACCTTTGATGATGTGATTTATTGTTGGAGTTTTGGTGCCAACTCGTTGGGATTTATGGGTGATGATTTGATCTAAGCTTTGATTCGTGGAAGGTGATGACTGTGGTATTTCTTTGGAGATCTAGAAATTGAAGTCGAGAGAGAGTTGCTAAGAGAGAGTTCGTGCAAATTAGAGGAGGAAGGAGCAAGAGAAAAAATTTGTTAAGATAGAAAGAGGAATAGAGAGAGGTGTTTGGAGTGGTTCAGTCGAATAACTTTTTGAGAGAAAGGGAGTTTGGGGCTCAAGGCGCACATCGAGAGAGAGAGAGTGGGGGGAGAGAGAGAGAAGTCAAATATCACACAAGTGGAGATGGTGGGCAGTCAAGTCGTAAAAAGATTCTTTGTATGTGTTTATTTTTTTTTTTTACCAAAATACACTTGTAAAACTTGACTAAGTTTGCTTTGTATCAGGATAAAAATGTGACAAAAATATATGAATTATAAATGAGTTGGCTCGCGAATAGCTTTGCTTGTCTCGATTACAAAACGAGCTAAAAAAATTGATTAGATTCGACTCATTTTGTAAAATGAGCATGCCCGAGTGTGCCAAAAACCAAGGGAGCTCTAGCTACTTGGTTTGTCGAGCTTGATTCGTTTAACAACCTTACTTTTTGTGATTCGGCCTCTTCGGTACATAAGCCATCTATTGATAGTCGTGTTGCATCTTCCTTTGCTTTTCATGACGACCTTACTTCTCCACTTAGTTGACTCATGTTGTAGTTGTTTCCTTTGTTCCCAAGTTGTCTACCTTTGTGCACTTGTGCATGCCCAATTTGCTATATCATATTTAATTATTGATTGGTGAGCTTGTAGTGTCCACATGTTTGGTATTTCCTCACTGTTTACTAATTTTCGGTCTTCTAAGTCACGTCTTGTGTTAGACATCGGAATGGTGATCTCCATCCTACTTGATTCATACTCTTAAAATTTCGGTTATATGTTCCACAGTTTTCTTTTAAACTTGCAATCTGTGATTCAACTTAACTAAGTGTTTACAGTGTTTAGTAATCTTGCATTAGTAGCATGGTTCTGGGTGATGCTATAAACCATCGACTCAAATGGTATTGAGGCGCAGTACTCCCAGTGTCGGCTGATACCCATAACCATGATTTAGGCAAGATGACACAAATTGTACTATAATGACTCTGACAACTGCCAAGTCGTCTATGAATCAACCATGAGGTGAGAGTTCTTCCATGGGGAGAGTATTGATCTCGAAATAGAGGGTGCTGTGATGGATACAACTTGGCAAGTTCGTATCAGCATCAATAGTACTTTGAACCATGATTATTAGCGCACATATAGATTGGCTTTTGTCAGATTAAAGCCCATCAGAATTTAAATCTATCAAATTTTGATGTGTTAAGAACTATTTTGTTGCATATAAGATGACTCTTACTTTTAGAACTTGTATGTTGAATGATATTGCACTCGATATCTAGGCCCATACATCTATACAATTAATAAAGGGATAGGAAGGGGGTTGGTGTCCACTCCTAAAATGTCTATAATACCCTTAGAATTTTCCCAAATAAATACTTGTAACACTCTCTTGAACTCCAATCAACCGCCCCCACTCATAGAAAATCTATATTGCCCTTCATTTCTTCCTAAATATCCACCCAACTCCTTATTTCACCCTATTCATTGGCTTAAATTTCGCTTTACACGGGTCGCTATGTGTGCAGGGTGTCTTGTGTCTATTGATAGTGAGAAAATGGGTAGGTGCTAATTATGGAGGCTTATATGAATGAAGAATCCCAATGAATTGTGGATGAAGGCATAGGTCAGCGCTGCACACAAAATTTAACCAAAAATCATCCACAAAATTTAACCAAACACACACACACACACACATCCCGAGAATAGTGCTGAGTACTAGGTGGCATTGCCGTGCATGGGGGGTTCGGACTAAAGCCTATCCAAGGATCAAAATATCGTTTCGAAACAGTCAAAATGTCTGAAACGAAACAGTGATGTAATCGAAATTCTGATATTTTGAGGTATTCTATAATGTTTTTAAATGTATTATAATATTTCAATGCATTTACACAATTATTTTAGAATGTTTCAAGGTATTTCAAGATACTTCGATATATTTTCATCAATGTTTTAAAAAAATAATTCTTAAATTTTTTATTTTTTTTATTATATTTTCGAAACGGATCGAAACACTTTCGAAACACGTTGAAACGTTTTCGTTTCCTAGGTGACTGAAACAATACACCAAAACGATATTTTGATCCTTGAACCTATCAAAAATTGTGAAGGAACTAATGGGGATAAAGAGCAATGTGAGGTGGCGCCACAATAAGTCAAAGTTGCTGCTATAGAAGGACAGGCACATAAATAGGAGAATAAGACAGCACTAAGCCTATATGACATCTCTCCCCACTTTGTGTGAACTTGTCTTGTGACGCCCCTAAAACCGGGGGTCCCGCTGACCACCCGTCAACTCGTGGTTGTCGCATAACTCGACATCACGTCTATCACATCTCTGTAACCGGGAGCCCCTAAAACCGGGGGTCCCGCTGACCACCCGTCAACTCGTGGTTGTCGCATAACTCGACATCACGTTTATCACATCTCTGTAACCGGGATTACAACCCAAACGAGGATCCGTGTTTCCTTTAATCCATTTAATCTCATCTAGGTTCAACATACCCCATTGTATCTCATTTAAGGTCCATTTGTGTCAATGGAATTAAAGAACACATAGCCCAAAAGCATAACAATGCATTCTTAAAGTTTCAGATTTTTGAAAAACCTTCCAGAAGGTTTTACTCACTAGAAAAGTCCTTCCGGAAGGTTTTATAGACTTTCTGGAAGGTTTTGTCTACTGGAATTCAATTTATACTAACCTTCCAGAAGATTTTTTCTTCAACCTTCCGGAAAGTTTTGCCAGCTGAACCAAAAGTCTGCATTAACCTTCTGGAAGGTTTTATCCAGAATTTTATGCCTCTTCAATTTTTTCATTTTTAATCCACTCAAAACCTTTCCAAATTCATCCCAAACATGTATAATAATTATTTGCTACATTATACATGATTCATACAAGTTCTATTACAATTAATTCCATATGATTACAAGCCCATTTATACAATTACATGCTCAAAATAGAATTTTACAATTGTTTTACAAAAACTTGTCTCCAAAAGCCACAAACCGGCTTTTCTTCATCTTCGAGGCCCCCGAATGCGAGTCCTCTCCTAGTACGAACTCTGCACCTGAAATGTTTCCCATATTGGGTGAGCCAACGCCCAGTAGAAAATTTCCTACAGAGGCTACTCCCCAACCTAAGTGCATATACAATGTTCATATACAACATTCACAATCGTATGGTCATTCCAATCAAGAATATACATGATTCATGTTAGAATCTACTATGTCATGCCATAAATGAAATGAGATTCACTTACGCACCTTACCCAAGCCTTCACCTGTCCTTTCCACACTATGCAATGCAAGTGTAAAACCTTTATCTTTGATGAAATACATCCAAAGATCATTTTGAAACAAAACTCATGTGTTCATAAAAATCAATTCATTTCTGGATGTTTCTCATCAAATGAATCATTTGTACAAATAAAACCATGTGCCTTTATTTGGGTAGTGGATTTTTGGTGTTGCACCGCCGGCTCCACACACCGATACACTTTTTTGGACTTGCACCGTTGGAAATGTATAAACCAATAGCCGGGCCTTGCACCCGAGGACGTATCTAGCCCTTCTTGTTATATCCGACACAAGTTTTTCATGCTATGAACCATGCGACTCTGTTGAACCTTGATTCAACGGTACCAAGCCCACTTATCACCCACCTACTTGGTGTTTGATATCAACCATGCACTTACACTCATGAAATGCGATGTGTTCTCCGTGCATATGCAATGTAATAAACCGTTGCACTACCAACATAATGCTCAATGTAAAGAATGCCAATGAGCTAGTTCAACCTCATATCATGTCCTATATGTAATGAATGCCATACAGACAATTTAAATCCCACATCTCAACATGTGTCATGACAATTTATATCAATGCATATAATTACTATTATCTATCACAATATCCATATATCAACTAGCATGTATAAACATTTATATTCCCAACACATATCCCAATCATGACATTACGTAAACTCATGCCAAACACATTCAATCACAAGGCATAATGTTAAACATATAGCATGCCCATATAATCACTTTTTCATGGAATTACCAACCCATTTACATATTCTTTTTTCACACTCATTTCACCTATGTCATATGCATAAATGAGTGAAATGCATATTCTCTTTAACCCACACATTTTAATATAACACTAGCGGTGGAAAATGAACCAAAGTAGGAGAACCCCCTACCTCTTGAAGCGTAAAACGACGTTGGGAAGCTCCAAGAACCCAAAACGATCTTGAATTCTCACTTTTCCAAAATCTCGTTTTTCAACCTTCGGTAAAACCCATTGTTTTTGTTGTGGTCGCGTAGCCCTCGACGAGGAGAATGACTTTTCCTCTTGGCCCGAGTGAATCCAAAGGCAGTGGAGTCATGTAGATCGTAGAGAGAAGGTGGAAGAACTCTCCCTTTTCCCTCTCTTCTCTATCGGCCAACGGCTGGTTGTAAGAATGGGGGAAAAATCTGATTTTTTCCCTTATTTATATCCCTCCATTGACTTGGCTCACATTGTGCCACACAACCTCTTTTTTTTGGGTCTGTTTTCCTCCTGAAACGATTAAATTTCGCATCGGTTCAAGTTCAAATTAATTTTATTTTAATTTGCCTCAAATTATTTTTCAACTTTTAAAATTTTATTAAAAATCTTGTTTTTTTGTCACCTGAGACTCGACCGTCTCGTAAAACGCGAACAATTCGACTATTTCAGAATTCGATGAAATTTGACGTGGTAACTAGATTTCGCGAGACGAATCCAACGGTGAGATCCGTTTCGTCATTCGAGGGGTAGAAAACTTCAAGTTTTCAACCCAGCAGTAAAATTATCGTTTTGCCCTCATTTACAAAAGTTTAAATTTACCGGGTTTTACATGTCCTCTACTTACAGTAGTTGATGGATTTTAGGATAGTTAAGAGTCATGTGCTTCAGATTGAATTAGTGTAATCATTAGCTTGAAGGCCAACTTTGTGGACAATATTTGAGCAAGGGTGTTAAGTTGGAACTGGGCAAATCAACATAAATGCCATGTTGGAATTAATAAACCTGCCAAGTTTCTTTGGAGGATTTGGGGTGACTCTCAAAACAAACTGTAGTTTTATAAGAGGGAACCACACCATAACTATTCCTTAATCTTAACGACTTAGCAACATCTCCTTTAGATTTCACTAACAACTGCACTGGCACAACCTATGGACCGTATAAAGAGCTTGTATTTCATGTTGAATGATTAGGACTATCCAAGGTTAGCTTATATTCTTGAGGAGCAACTCCACTTATTGTCAATTGGTTTCGAGTAGGATGCCCTTGCTAACTTTGATCAAAGAGACAAGAAAGAAGAGAGAACATAGAGGAAAAGAAAGAATATTATTAAATTACATCAAGTTTTGCAGCATTAACATAAGAAACACAATAGAGACCCTTATATAGTAGGGTAACATAAAACAACATAAATGATTAAATTACTCCTAATACTAATATGCTACAATACTCTAACACTTTGTTATGTACTCACATAAAAGTAAAACCTTATCTTGTCATCTGGCCATGGGTTTTGTTTATGCATTGAGATAACTTGTTTCCTCTGTATTTGCAGGGCGAAATTGTAAAGGTCTTTGCAAATGAGCATAGAAAGATCACTTGTGGTAAGCTAACCAAGTTGATGCTAGCACAAGTTTTGATACACGGTTCGAGTACATATCACTGAAATTCAAAGTTTTCATTAGCTGCTATTGGTAAAATATTGCTCCCAAAAAAAGAGAAAATCAAATGAAGTTACTCCTGCAAACAATACCCCCTTTGACCAACATGTATGACTCTGGGTGGTACATATGTGTCTGATAATCATATTAGTGAGGACACACTAGAAATGCAAAGCAGCATGTCATTGTCGTATGTAAGCTAGATTTCTTCATAATTTAATCCTATGTTTAAGTCATATCCAGGGCTACAAATCCCCAACATTGGGTGGGGACAAATTTGGTTCGGATCATTATAGCATATTTGCGTTGGGGATGGTTTTCATCTCTTTGTTATTGTTCTTCTGGTTGCTTGGATCATAGTATTTTCAATGATAGCTGTCTAAGCCCATGGAGCATTAAAATATTATATATGCTCATATAACTATGTTTATATTCTTATTCAGCAGTTCACTTTTTTCTAGCATCACATGTTGCAAAAGCTATGCATTAATATGCTGAATATTCTCCTCTTGTCGCTCACAGATCCTGATATGCATAACCACATCGAGAAAACCCTTTATAGTGGTCATGCTTCATATAAAGTATCCTTGTCGGTATGACTGGTTATCAACTTTTAATTTTTTTTTTCTGCTTGGTCATCATATAATGTTACCAAAAGTTATATTCTACTGCTCATAACTTCGAGAGGCTGAATTTGTGATTCTATTTTTACTTTTTTTTTTTTGTTTTTTGATGTACAGACGGGATATCTTGATATATGGGAGCCAGCTACCTTGACCATCAAGAGAGAAGGTTACAGCATCAAGTGTACTGGACCTAGTGCTGTCGTAGTCACTGAGAAGTTTCTACAAGCCACAGTTGTATGATTTCTTATCCACATAACCTTTTACATTTGCATGTATGTTTGTGTACCTTATCCAAATGAGCGAAATAAAACATATGATCTGGGATTAATCTGCAATGTCAAGTTCTCATCAGGTTTCTGAAATGGTGGAGTGCTAACATATGCAACTATCTTTCCTTTTCTTTTTTTCTGTTGCTCTTTTTTTGGAATCAGCGAAATTTATATTAATATATTCATGGACATAGGAAAATAATCCATGTTCATGTTTCAAAGTCAATTTGCAAATTAGAAATGCAAGAAACTGTGTCGAGCCAAATTTTGGGCTTGCTTGAAGTTAAATCCTCATCTAGCAAGCTCAAGCTTGTTCAAAAGCTTAATCAACTGTGCTTTGTCAAGGCTATTACTTGGGGAAGCTGAGCCTCACTTCACTATTATTCATATCAGGCAGTCTCGGTTTCGATTCTTAAGGCTGCTTGTTGCTGGATGACCAAGGAAAGGGTTTGCCATGTATAATAGAATTTATAGGTGGTTTTGGTCAAGCAAAGATTGTTTTCTTCGGGAATTCTAGAGGAGAGAAATTGGTTTGTTCTTCAAATTGATTGGTTGCAGAATTTTCATGCATGGGATGTTTTAGAATCCTCTGGATGGCAAGGAATTTAAGTTCTTGGTGATAATAAATGGTAATGGGTTGGGTAATGGGTTAGGATTGATTAGGTGTGATTGGACCATGGCTGATTATTGTTTCAGGATTTCTTCTGGGCTCTGGGAGTGCTTTGCGTAGGGGACCCCAACTCATTCCCAAGACAAAGCATTAAATTCGAGGGTGAAGGTGGTTGCATGTGTACTATGATAACCACATTAGAAGGGTCTGAAGCAAGGCAAAAATTGAAGACCTTTTGTCTTCCAAAAAGCTAGAACCGGCAGCACAAAATTTGACTGAGAGAGAGAAATTAGTAGCAGAGAAATAATAGTGTTTGTTACTATGAGAAAGAAGTGCAAGAAATGAAGCCCACTTTTTACTCTTGATCAAGGCCGAATTCTACCCCGATCATGCTGAAATTTTAGGGTCTAACTCCTATAATAGGCAGATGGGTAGTTATTGTTTCATATTGTTATTCAGACTTTTCTACAGCTGGTTTTAAGAAGACACTAGTTTATTACTTTGGTGAGACCTTTCTTTGTTTTATTGTCTTGAGATCCACCTAAGGGTGTTGTTTATATGATTGGGAGCCAAGGATATATTGTCTCTTGATGTTTGATATCTCTAGTTGTGACTAGAAGAAAAAACCCACTTGTAATCCCTTTTTTGTTGATAGTGGAGGAAGTGGCCTGATTGTTGCCCCTTGGTTTTTTCCCTTCATCTATTCGTATTCTTGTATTTTTGGTTTTCTTTTTGTGGATAGTTATGTGGTTGTTCTTGTAAAACCCGGAAAAATTAAAACTTAATTAAAAATAGCAAAATGGTAATTAACCGTTATGGTATTAGTTGAAAACCTAAATTTTTCTAGCACTCGGATGATGAAACGGATCTCACTGTTAGATTCATATCGTGAAATTTAATTACGCAGCCAATTGTTGTTGAATTTGCGACAATTGAATTTTTTGCATTTTACGATGCGATCAGATGTTGTGTGACTAAAATAAACGCAATTAAATTTATTTGCAAAGTCCAAAAAATAATTTAAAGTTAATTCAGTAAAAATATACAAAACTTAACACGACGATATTTAATTAGTTTGGAATAAAATTAAACCAATTAAAGAGGAACACGTGACACGACGAGGGTAACACATTTAAGGAGTATTTAAAGAGGAAAATCGGATTTTTCTCCCATTCTTTAGCTAGCCATTTTTGGGAAAAAAGGAGAGAAAATGTCAAAGTTCTTCCATCTTTCTTCTTTGATCCGTCAAGATCCAACCGTTGGATCACTTCGGGTCAAGAGTTAACGTTGGTTTACGCGACGAGAACTATGCAACCATACCAAAGATTGTGCTTTTCTCCAAAATCTCAAAAATGGGAATTTCGGGCTAAAGCTTGGAAGGCTTGGTTTGGGGTTGTTGAGACTTCTACTATGCGGGCTTATGTTATAAGAGGTAGAATTCCCTCTTATCTAAGTTTATTTCTAATCTAGGGTTGTAATATGAAATGGATGGGATGATAGAGATGAATTCTCATGTAATAGCAAGCACCTGGTGTAGCTAGAATATGAAAAATGAATATGAGAATATGTTAAAACCATTTCTTGTTTGATTTGGATTTGATAAGATTGCGTGAATTAGGCTTTGAATAATGTATTATTTGGGTATGCGATGTGTTTACATAATTTTGCCTACTAAGTGTTTGATAAAATGCTTAAAAATTTAAATTTGTTATTCGGATTGAAATTACATGGGACATGTTCGGGAATATTCTGAAAAATGACATGTTTGTTATATACTTATGATATAATGGATATTTTGATGTTTATGGAATATTGTCATATGCTCACGTGTCAGAGTTAGCATTGTGATGAATTGAAAATGACAAATGTACATTACATTGCATGTGCACGAATTGCACTATATTCATGCGCATTAGCACGAGTGTGAGTGTGTGGTTGCATGGGTTAGTCAATCACCGCATGATGAGTTGATGGGTGGACTCGGAAAGTTTGGGTCATTCTTCAATTGAGTCGTACGGAACATTGCATAGAAAAAATGTGTCGGGTATAACAAGAAGGGATAGATTCTCCCTCGGGTGTAAGGTCCGATTACTTGGTTCACTCACTTAATCGGTGGTGAAATTCTAAAAAAGTGTGTTGGTGTATTCGAAACTGGAGGTGTGATTCCCTCAAATGTCATGCCGGTTTGGTAGACCGTTGGTGTGATGTCCATAAATTACCTAACCAAGAAAGACACAAGATTTTATAAAATAGTCATTGAATGTTTAACATCAATGGCGGGGTTGGGAATGTCCGGATGCATACGCATGACATAGCATGTGTTATGGAAACCGGTGGAGTTCGACTTTGCATTGGATGCGTGAGTTTCCATCTCATGACATGACATAGAATTATAGCATTCATTTATGAAAAGTATGTGTTTGAATAGATGTTTGATATTATGACTTGCATGTTACATTTCATATGTATCTGGGTTAGGGAGTGGCCTGCATAGGAGATACCCTATTAAGCGTGGCTCACTCTTTGTGGGGATACATTTCAGGTGTTGGCAGGTTCCAGCAGATTGCCCTCACTTGGGCCCGTGTTGACGAAAGAGCCGGACTGTGACTCTTGAATTATATTTTGTAGTCCTTTGTATATTTCTATATAGGCCTTGTATAAATTAGCTAAAAAACTTTTACTTTGACAAAGGCATGTAATGAGACTCTCTTGCACAATATTATTTCGTAGATAAATGGATGTTATATGAGTTTGTTGGGTTAAAAGTTAAAATTTGAGAAATTTGGGCCCTAGGTACCTGTTCCTCACAGGTACCTAGTTTTCAGTGGGCTCAGGTGTTGGTACTTATGTTCACTAGCATTGGTAGCTTGATGACAGTGGGCCCATGTATCGGTACTAAGTCTTATAGGTACTAGTACCTGGATTTCAGAGGTACTGATACCTCTTCCCAAAAATTGATTTTTGAACTTCAACGCTTCTGACATTTTATATCTTGAGCTTTTTTCTTTGGATGATATAAATGGTTCAATTTTAAGTTCTAGACTTTGGGATGTGGATCTTGGAATATTTGTATGATTAATCTATGCACAAATTATGTATTGGGTAGTACTTCTGTGCAAAGGAGATTCTGTCCGAATTTCGTTTTGTTATGATCCCGGTAAATGGGATATAACGACGTGATATCAAGTTATACAGTATCCACGAGTATTCCGTGGATTGATGGATTATCAACAAGTTGAGAAAGAACCTTCGGATTTTGGGGCGTCACAGTTCTCTATTGATTTGCACATATAGAGGGAACGCCATCGGTTTCCCGGCAAATGGTATTACGACATGGGTTGGCTATTGGTCGTGTGTTACTCATGGATGGCAATGTGAACTATATGGCTAGTTTCAATGTAATCAATTGGGTAGCTAGGAAAAGCAAAATGAAGACCTGGTATACTACTAAGACTTTCTATGAACCCATAGAAAGGCCATTGGATGAAAGTTAGGGTGGAATAAATTTGACGAAAGGCCATTGCATTTATTTGACAATGGATTGATGAGTGGTTTACATCATGTCCCCACTAAATATTCAGTCTATTCTCAATGAAAAAAATTAATGATTATGAGAGGAAATCAAATGCCAATAAGGCTTTTTTTCATTTCGAAAGCTAGTGAATTTGAATTGCAAGGACGATAGCCCCATTGCTGATCATTTGAAGAAAGAGATGAGTATTTTAAATCAACTTTCCTCTATGAGATTCTATGGGATGATAAGTTGCAGGATTTGTTGTTCCTTAGCTTCTTGCCACAAAGTTTTGGAGAATTTGGTTGTGATGGTTGGTAACTCCGCACTTGGTGGAATTGTCACCATGAGTCAATTGAAAAACTGTTTGCTAAATGAAGAAACAAGAGACAAGTCAATTAGTTCTCCTTCTGAGGCACTTGTGGAAAATTTGGGAAGACGGAGGAGTAGAATGCATCAAAACCATGATAAATCAAGAGAAGCTTGTAGCTCAAGGGAACACATATAGTGCCGTTATTGTCGCAAGAAAGAACATACATATAGAAAATATGGTAAACTCAAGAAAGAGCAATGACAAGAGAAAGTGATGAAAAAAAGTAATAATATACAGTTGCAGTTACTTTTGATGTGGGTATCATTACTAGGGGTGGCGATGGTTGTGTCCATTTCATCTGTTTTTGATGGTTACGCCCTTTCATATGTAGATTTTTCACATCTTACACTCAAGGAGATATTTGATTTCTTCTCCAGATGGGAGATGAAGGCTTATTTGAAGTTGTGGGTATTAGAGTTATTTGCTTGGAGAAAAATATTGGTTGCATGTTGTTGCATAAGAATATGAGGCATGTAGCGAATATTTGCCTTAGTTTGATCTTCTCTAGAAAGCTTGATGATGAAGACTGTAACAACCACTTCGGAGATGAAAAATGGAAACTCACTAAACGCTCTAGTTGCGGCTTAAGGGTAGAGAAATTGCACTCTCTATACGATGGGGCAACAATCGACATGAATGGGGTGTATGCATTAGACAAGGATTCCTCCATTGGATTATGGCGTAAAAGGCACGGGTATATGAATGGAAAGGGATTGTAGATTCTTTATGTCTTCCTACTAAGGTTATGACTCCCAATTAGGAAGCTAATGATGACTAATCTAAGACACGCCTAAGACTTCAATTAAAGCCAACATAACATAATTTTGACTGTTTATAGGTCCCATTGATGTTGCTCATGTCCATCATTACTAAAAGAGGGAATAATATGTAAAATGTAATTGCAATATTTTTTGCAGCCTATATTCAAAACGCACATGAAAAAGATGCCAATTTTACTCTTGACTTCAAGACACATGCTTCGAAGAATCCTACGTATCAGATTCCAATCTTATCCTTTTGTTTACATGTCCCCCACATTCTCCTCCACATTTGAGAAAACATGATCTTGACTTTTGAATTGTTGAAGTGTTAGATTCTAAAACATGAACCCTTGTACTCGATATGTAAAGCATATGTGCAATTCTCTGTACCATATTAATTCAAAGAGCACATCAAATAAGATACAAATTTCTAGAGGATGCGGTACTGGAAGATAGACGTTTTAAATAAAATATCCAACCATATTCAAGGCGTATTTGTATCCGATATGTTTCAGATACAGATACTCTAGCCTTAGTTACGACATCTGTACTTCATAGGACTCTAGACTTAAAGAAACATGCTTTGAAGCATCCTGCATGTGAAATTTCTAACTTCTATCGCTATATTTTTCTTTGTTGGGAAGGTGTTTGTATGCTTTTGAAGTTAGAGAGGATTGAAATTGTATTGCTCTCCATATTGATTGGTGGGAGAATTTATACAAATGGGATTCTAGAATTCTTTGTAAAACATGAAATTTAAGAGTCTTTGTGTTGTTTTCATAGGAAAAAGGTTGCGTAATGGGTAGGATGAGTTAAATATTTGTGCAAAAATGATAAATTGTTTCAGGCGAACATATTCGCTATTTGTATCTAGGGTTTAGTCTATGATGATGACAAGGATATAGAATGGAAAAAGAATAGTTATAAAGTTTAACCATAGGTAAAAATTATCGAAAAGAAGGGTAATCTAGGCATGACCACCCAAGTAAGTTGCATAAAACATTGGATAAAACCTTAAAGAACTTCACAAAATTCTCAGCAATTAATTCATTCCTTAATATTACTGGACTAAAAGGATATATCGGCTGTTGGGCTCACCTTATGCTCCATAAGTATGAATTTGGTTACTCTTTTACTTTAAACTATTTGATAGATAGCAGGGACTATGAAAAAACCCTAGTTAACATAATTTGACACTTTTCTTATGACCCATTTACTTTGGAAACTTTCCGTGTGAAGTCCCAAAACCCCATCTCCTTTGGGTGTAGAGCATGATCCGCCTTGGAGACCTCCATGTGATTGCATTTTATTTTCCTTTTGTAAATAGTAACATCACAATAATATGTGAATACTCTGTATTAGTCACATTTGGTCAGAGCAACACCTACTCATATCAAAGGATCAAAATCTGATATGAATTACGTTTTGATGCATAGTTTTAGTCATCTAGGAAATGAAAATGTTTTCGAGATAATAGAAAAAATAAATTTGAAAATGCCTCCAAAATATTGGTTGAAATATTTCAAAATTTTTCGAACCATGAAAATTTTAATATTCAATCATTGATTTGTCTCTGTGTCCTTGAAATTGGAAACGTTTCTGTCATTTCGGTGCAAAATAAACGAAATTTTGATCCATGGTATTGACCATCTCCTTTGGTTCAAATGAAAAGTTTCTAATGGTTTTATGATGGAAATCACTATATGTCATTATTTTGCTTATGGAAAAGAAAGAAAAAAGTATATATTATTCCATTATTGTTAATGTAAAACAATACCAGTATTTTGTCGGTGGTGGTTTGATGCCCTCTTTCAAGTGTGAAAACAGTTGCATAAATATTCACGCTTGTAACTAACATTATATTACCATACAGTTCTTACATAGGATATGTGAAGTTCACTAAGCATTTTGGTGGTGTATTCCTATATATATCAAATAGTCATTTTACCTACTGTAGTGGATGGTGTTCCAAGTTGAAGAGAGGTTCATTTTTTAATAGTCATGCATATTTTTTAAGTTTTTGTCTAATAGTGTAGCACACTGAATATGATGTTTATTGTGTATTTTAAATGGAGTGCACTGATCATCTTTTTTTCCAGTGTGTTGACTTTATTAGTTATTGAGTATAAAATTATTTACTCTATTATTGCAGGTTACAATCCCATATGGCAATTCCACAGAATTTTCTATAATTGGTTCTGAGGGAGTTGAGCGTCTTTTGCGAGTGGATGATTCGACAAATGTTAGGTGGTAAGTTCCAATGGTTTTCTGTGTCAAATTCTTTAAAAATTGATAATGACCATCAGTGTCTTTCTCATGCAATGGATAGGGTTATGTCCATTTAAGAAGCATGAACACTCTCACAGGACCAACGAAGGATGGAATACAAACACTGATATAGAAACACTATAAGATATAGAAAAAAATAGGGCTTTTCAAACTTCACACCTTGAAAGATATCAAAATTCCCACTTTACACCTATAAATATTAAATTTTTTGCATTACACCCTTGATGTATCAAACGTATTGCATGTGTCCCTTCTATTATCTTCTGTTATTTTTTTCTTCAAAAGTCAACCCATTAATACTGATGGAAAAACTAATAAAAAACTAATAGAAGGATCATATTGCAACTCTTTTAATACATTGAGAGTGCAATATTAAAAAATTAATCTTTGAGGGTGCAAAGTGAGAATCTTGAAGTCTTTGAGGGTGCAAAGTGCCATACTATCATTTACCATTTCCAAAAGATGGGGAGCATAAAACTTACAAGTTCTTGTCATGTCCATACCCAAGCTGTGTACCTATATTTTATAGGAGCTTTGACCTAGAAATATTGATGTAATCCCGACTATTTTTAGGAGAGAGTGCTATTAACAAATTGTTTCTACGTGCAGAACTGTGTTTCTTGATCTAATCCTTGCGAGGGTTTGGTATCTCATATCCTTTCTTATTTCCTTTTTCCCGTCCTACATAAATTGATATCAGAGCCTAACTTCGATCATTCTTTTGATTGTCGTCGTGTGCTTCAATAGCTCCTTCTTCATATCCTAATCACATAATCTCATCTCCTACAACTTAAGGAGATGACCCATTCTACAACACAACGGAGATCATCCACTGATTTCTCCAAGTCTTACCTTCGCCTATCAAACTGGTCTTAAGATCTCGTATAAAGTTCTAATTTGTTGGGATTCTCAGTTTCTCATGTGATGACGATATTCAATTTTTGAATTGTCTTGAGATTCTCCTTTTTCATGTGGAATTTGGGGTGAGAAACTGGTAGTTTAACCATTGGTTAGATGGACCAATATAATCGACTTTGGAAGCCTAGAAAGAAGACTAGGAAATTTTGGTCCAATGGGAAGTGTGATTGGTAGTTTTTGTTAAGATTATGTTTATTATTCTTTGTTGGTCTATCTAATTAAGGTACATTTGTTTGAGTAGTAGTGTCTTAGTAGTAGGAAACTATTATAGAGTTTTAGTAAGAGAGAAATTTAAGCGTCCTTGGGGAGAACTTTGTGTTTTTCTTGGCCTAATCCTTGCGAGGGTTGATATATCTTAATTCTTTCTTCCCGTGATTCATCAGAAAGATTCTTGAATCTGGGGAGGGATTATGTTCACAGTAAATGTCCCTCTCTCTATTAGGGTAAAATATTCCATTATCCAGACCATACAGATGATGGTTTGAGTCAAGTTGGAATGGTGGACATTGGCCGTGATGGCCAATTTTTTTGGCAGAGGTAGATGAAGTGTGTATGCATGAAATATGTTTGATGGTTTAAGCTTATTAAGTGGTATAGGTGCCAGAATGGGTTTGGAATTTACCTTGGGGGATTTACAGCCCAAATCAGCCATTCCACGATGGGATGGTTTAGGGTTGTGTTGGTGATTGTGCAGTTGATGGTGGTGGCAGCTGTGGCATTGCATTTAGAGGCGGGGAAATGTCCTAACCTTGTTTCTGTTCTTTCCAAACAAGCCAGTAAATCAGTTGTGGTGGAAAATAATAAGAAAATCATGGCAGGCCTGCATTAGTGCTGTTTTGGATTTCCAATGTCAGCAGCCACATGATTCGGAAAGTGGCCTGCATGTTGAAATGAATAAAGAGGTTAAGAAAGCAATGTTACTTTGGAAAGCTAGAAGAATGCGTCCAAAATGTATTTTGGTCAACTTGGACAAAAAGAACAAAATAAAATCTTTAGTTCATAATCAAAATGCTGAAGAAATTGGTTATTCTAAGGCTTTCAAGGTAGGACCATGAGAGGGTCGCACAAAGAATATTTGTAAATTGGGGTTACCAGAAAATATGTAATATGAATCAAACTAGGTTACAAAACTGTGAATAGTTTCAGAAAGGCAAAACATGTGGATAGTTTGAATGCTAAGAATATTCAAAAAGGCAAAACATAATTCCAAAAATCATAAAGCATTCAAGTTTCAACTTTTCAATTACTAAATATTCAAATTCAACAAAAGCATAAACCATCCAATAAATGCTACTAACTTTTTAACATTTGGAAACACACAAGTCAAAGCAACTTAACATCAAGTCTTATGCTTTCACCTATGCAAGGACCTAAAATCATCCTAGTCACCAAGCAAACCATCTTCTTTGTCATTTCCAAATCAAGAGATCTAATTAAAAACATAGATCAACTATTGCAAAGAAAGAAGTTCACACAGAGAGGATAGAAGAAGGGAAAAATCATATGCGACACTCTAATATTCTATAATAAGAAAAAGTGAGTACAAGAGACAATATAAAGAAAAGACTAAACTACCCTTAATGATAAATAAATATAATTACGCTATGAACACCCCCTCTCAAACTCATGATGTGACGGTAGGAAGTATTGTGAATTTGCGAAGAAGAAAACGAAAATACGGCATGGTATGAGACTTTGTGAAGAAGATAGTTAAGTGCATAGTGGAAGAAACAAAAGGTAAGAAAATAGTCCTAAGTTGAACATGGTGACGCATAAAGTGACAGTTGATCTCAATGTACTTGGTTAGCTCATGAAAAATAGAGTTGTGTGCAATCTGAATGACACTTTTGTTGTTACAATACATAAGAATAGGACTAGAAAAGGAAACACCTAGATCGGCAAGTAGCCATCTCAACCAAACTATCTTTAACGAAAAAGTAGCCATAGCACGATATTTAGTCTCAATAGTAGAACTAGTGACAACGGTCTAGTTCTTGGTCCTCTAGGAAATAAGAGAATCAACAAAAAAGATACAAAAACTAGTGGTGGATTTATAGTCAATGGCATCACCTGCCCAATAGTCGGAAAAAGCACAAAGCTTCACAGCAGAAGTGGAAGAAAGCAATAAACTTTGATGTAAAGTGCCTCTAAGATAGTGTAAAATGCGAAGAACTATAGCCTAGTGCACTATAGTTGTAAAAGAGACTAATTGGCTCGCAACATGAAAGACATATGCTATATTAGGTCGTGTAACTATGAGATAGACTAGTCTATCGACAAGCACTCGATACAATGTAGGATTAGCCAAAGGGACCCCATTAGTAGAAGTGTAGTGCACATTCAGCTCGAGAGGAGTCTCTATAGTTCGAGAATCTATTAAATGGGTCCTATGTATAACATTAGCGACATATTTTGACTGAGAAAAAAGATAACCCTTTGGGGATGAAAAGGGGACTAAGATCCTTCATCTTAAATTGATGTTGTAACTGAGCCTTTAAGATTGAAATGCCCTTGGAATTAATATATAAGAGGAGAACAATCTGGCTAGCAGAAATAGAAGAAAAGAAAATAGTAGAATCATAATCACTTGAACGAAAATCCAAGTCAAAGATCATAGTAGAGAACTTCTCAAACCTAGTCTGAGGAGTTTATTTAAGACCATTCAAAGCTTTTATGAGTTTATATACTTCATCGGAATGTTAGGGAGACAGGAGGAGGAACCATATGAACCTCTTCTACCAATTAGCCGTTCATAAAAGTATTCTTGACATCCATCTTTGAGAGTTTTCACTGGCGAAATAGTTGCTACAGGAATTAAAATACGAATAGTAGTCATCTTTGTAACTGGAGCAAATGTCTCCTCATAATCATGTAGGTGTTGGTAAAGCATAGAGGGGCTAGAAAGAGAAGTGAAGGTCGGTAGGCAATGGGTTTGAGAAAGATAGTAAGTACTTATTCTATCAACCACAAGCTCCCTAGGCTTGATTTCTTACCTTTTTTAAATTAGTAACCCATTCCTCTATGCTAGTCCTGCATTCAATAGAATCATCCGCTTTGGTTTAATTCTGTATACCCACTAACCACCAACAACATGCTTACTGATAGGTAAAGATGCAAGATCCCAAGTCCTAGTTTTATACAGTGTTGAAAGTTATTCATTCATAGCATACTGCTAAAAAGGTCAAGAGTAGCCTCCTTATAGGAGGTAGGCTTAGACAAATAATGAATGGAAGATAAAAATGAACAAAAATCAAAAGAATAACAACTGTTAGAAAAATCAAAGCGAACAGGACATTTACAAATGCGCTTAGGGTAGCGAGAAGGTGAAGGATCCACATTATAGTTGTTAGTATCGTACGATACGCGATACGTATTGTACGATACGTTACGATACAAAAGTAAAATGATACGGATCGTAGTTATATATCATTTTTGCGTTGTATCGTCCGATACACAATACGTTTTTACGATATTACCGATACGCGCAAAACTTGTTTTTTTTTTTCCTGAAACGACGTCATTTTGTTCAAATAAGACACTAATTTTATCCCCGCCACTGATGAAACTAAATTTTTTTTTTTTGTATAAAATTTTTTAAATCTTGATTAATTTTATGGATTGAGTTCAAAATGGATGTTAGAAATTTGGATTAAAAGTCTCTTTAGTATTTGAAGTTTGAATTAGTGAACTATGGTTGTAAACTTTGTATTATAATATTAGTGAACTATGTTTATGACTTGAATAGGTGGAGTATTAATGATATGCTATATTTTTATGAGTTTATAATTTTTTTTCAAAGGTATATATATTTTTTTATTATTTATTTAAAATTACACCGTATCTTACGATACATGATACAATATATTATTTTTAAAAAACGATACACCTTCCGATACACGATTTAATAACTATGATCCACATCATCAGAGGTTGACGGAGATGCAACTGCAAGAGGTGTTCCTGCGAGAGTGAGTGTAAATAATAGGAGGGGGCACCACTGGAGAATGAGACCAAATAGAAGACAGATGAAAAATGAATATTAGAAGTGAGCATCACATGATTATTTGAATCACAAGAAGTATCATCAAGGAAGGGGTCGATATATATAAGGTTAGATCTATTAAAGGAGTTAAAAATATAAGGTACACTGTTAACACAAAACACTATTAGTGTTCATGAAACACAGTTCATGTACTTCATGCTAATTTCAACTAAAATTGAAGAAAAAGAGGAGAAACCTTGCTCTGATACCATGAAAACATAGATCGACTAGTGTGAAGAAAAGAGTTCACACATAGAGAGGATAGATGAAGAGAAAAACCATTATGTAGCACTCTAATATTTCATAATAATAAAAAGTGAATACAGAAACTCTACAATAAGGAAAAGACCAGAATACCCTTAATGATAAGTAAATATAATTACACTCTTAACACTAATGATCCCAAATATATAATTTAAAGGAAAAAAAGCCCATTTGCTTGATTTATTCCCTCGTGGGTTTGTTTGAGGGGTATGTTGGAATGTATGTGAGTGCCAAAAGTGATGTATCATCAAAATTATGATGATGCAAAAATTGCTCCCCAAGTGCAGGGAGGTTTATGTATCGTGTATTAACTCGGAAAAGTTTCGAGATTGTCTCCTTAGGGAAGTTCAAGAGCAAATGTTTCAAAAGTGATTTTAAAAATAAAAATAAAAATTTGTTCTTTGCAAATGTTGGTGAATCATGAGATTCGGGATTGAAAATCTATCAATGAAAAGGGTTGGCTAATCCTCAGAATTCTTTCCGTCGGGTATGATTAATCAATCCCATGTATAACGCAATTGAACTTAAAAATGTTTTGTTCAATCGAAAGATGGGAATTAAAAATCAGGAGTTATTAAATATTTGTATTGGTGTTGGATTGATTCATAGGAAGATTGATTCGTATAGGTTTGAAGGGACGATAAGTAAGTCCCATGACAAGTCTACGGTGCATCAAATGTGTAAAAATTTATACGATGCAATCTACCTAGTCAAATTCAATACACTACACTACAATGAAAATGTGTGTGAGAAATGATTTCTCCATACTCAGATGGAATTCTTCCTAAGATTTTGCCAACTAATGTTCTAACCAACTATAGATGGAATGATAATGCTAAAGAACATGGAAATCATTGTAAAGGAAACAAATACTAACTTAAACTAACCAAAAAAAGAGATAAACAAACTTGAAGCTTTGATCAAACACCAAGAACATAGAACTTAAAGCATAAAAGCTCAATCATTGAAAAGGGAGTTTTCCCAAAACAATTGTTTTGATGAAACTCTTATCAAAATGCATTCATACTAGGAAATGGAAGTTATATTAAGTACAGAAATGAAAATTACAAGCTTTAAAAACTTACAAGGATGAAAATGAGCAAGAAAATACAAAAACTCAACTTTTTCTTTCTAAAACTGTAGTCTTCTTCCTTAGAGTTTCTCTCTCTAAAGCTGAATGTAATGGTGAAAAATTGAATGAATCCTCTTCATCCATCCTCTTCTCTCTCTTAAAAAGTGTGTGGAGACAGCTTGCCCAAAAATCCTTCAAAATTCCACCAAGGTATGGTTCCTAGTCTTTTCCAACCACTCCCCTTACTTCTTTTTCCCTCTACTCCTTCATACTTAAAGACAGATTATAGTGGTTAGGGGGTTCATGGTGGAGTGTTGACAAAGTCAAACCATGGATTAGACATCCTAAGGGGGATCCTTGTAGCAAATGAGATTGTTGAGAAAGTAATATGGGAATTCTGAGTTTTAGGTACCGGTACCAAGTGATAAGGTACCGGTACCTCACTAGCAGT